TACCTACTAGAATCGGTAGAACCAATACAGTTGATCAGGCTGTTGGGAAGGCCTATAAATATAGTACCTTCAGTGGGTATAATAACCCCTAGCTTTCGAAGTTAAGCTAGATTTTTCTATCTCTTTGAGAAAACCAACGTTTCGGGCTTTGTTGGAAAAGTTAAAATATAGGCCCCCAGAAGCTCTATATTAACTGTCAGCTATCTAGTATAGTTGACGACCTTGCACTAGGAGGTCTATCTATAGGTCGAAGTTCCTATAGTGGTTTCTAGCTTGGAGAAACGAAGAATTCAGGGATTCCAAGCTACAAGCAGTAGAAACAGGCTAAGCTTATAGCGTTCAAAGGCTCTAATTTGCAGGGCAATTTATAAGCCTACAGCTGGAAATAGTACTTTTCCGGGCTCATAACCTAATTAGATTTAGGTGGGTGAGGCCCTGTAGTGCACACACTAACAGGGCTTACAATGCACTTTGGGGAAGCAATGCACAGTACTATTGCTTAGCTACCAGCAGTAATTACAGGGCCTAGGCCCTATAACAGTGGTTAATTTAGTAGGTAGACCACTATTGTTTTGGGAATGCCTCTATATTTGCTATCTTAACCACTGGAGTTGGATTTACTACTTCCTTCTCATATACCCACCGACCGGGGCACAGTGCCGAATTCGGCCCAGCGGTCTTAGTGGTAAAAAACTGAATCCCGCAAAACTCATTTGTATAGGTTTGACTAAAAATGGGCTCACCTGCTCGCAGCCGCACCCAGAAGTGCCCGGGCCCACTTGCACTACTACCTTAAAAACCGGTGCAGGGTAGGCCGGTTGGGGCCAAGCGGTGCAGGGTAGGCCGCTTGGGAGCCAACCACCGGTGCAGGGTAGGTCGCTTGGGATGCCAAGAGGTGCAGGGTAGGCCGGTTGGGAACAACCGGGTGCAGGGTAGCTCGCTTGGGAAACCCAGGTGCAGGGTAGGTGCAGGGTAGCTCGATTCGGGAGAAACTAACACTTAGTGAAAAGAAGAACCAACCTTCTTCAAACTAAGATAGCTAGCCACCCAGTAATCGTACCGCCACAACCAAGATACCAGTATATAGCTACAGGCCATACGAATTCAATTACAGTACTGTAGAGCCCCCCAGATGGCCACAGCACTAGTAATCTGAACTCTAGGGTTCAACAATTGGAATCAGGGGTATCGCTATTAACGATATTGCTATCTTCTTCCTATTGCTATAGGCCTTAGCAGTAACCAGCTTTAATAATTTAGTTCGGAGTTTGAGAGTAATATCCAATAATTAAAGTAAGCCGATATTAAGGTAGACCCTAGCTAAGGTATCTCCAATATTAAAGGAGTTCTAACCTAATCTAGCCAAACCAATAATATATAATTTGGGACGAGTTATATTACTATCCAGTACAGTCACCTCCCGACTATCTAAGGTATTACAATTAGGGGGTACCGGTATTATAGGCGGTGGTACCGACTGCATTACCTCTCTTAGTTTCCTATCAAACTTATTAATAACTCGATCAACTATCTAGTAATCAACAGCTATCAGGCTAGTTAGTACAGACCGGTATACATTCCTATCGTCTAACTTATCACCGTCCTATTCTTAGTTCAGAGAGTTACTCCCATTAGTATCGTCTAACAAGGCCGCCTCCGGCAAGTTCTGGTAAGTCGGGATCTACTCTAAACATAGAATTACATCAGCTAATTCCAGTATCTCTATAATTAGAAGCAATATACTCGGTATAACCGGGTTATCCCCTTCACCGGGAACTAGGTAGTCCGTATTATTATACAGATACCTGCTAATAAAGTCTTTATCGATGTGGACCTTTTTCGGCTTAACCGGCTTATAAACTTTGTCCTTTGGTTTAGCGGTAGTTGGTGTTATTACTAGCTTCGGCTCTAGCTTCCTAATAGCTATAATTAAGTATATCGTACTATCATTCTCGATAGCCTTAATCTTCCGTTCTATCTAGGCAAACTCCACCTAATATACCCTTATATTATATAGACTAAGGGTATTGATGAAATTAGTAAAGGATATCGATGTTAAACTTAAAACCTGAGGATTACCTTACTGCTGGTTTTATTAGGGTTGGGTCTGCTATATCTGTATATTCCTTACTACTTCCTATCTAGCCTAGCGTCTATATATATTACTATACTTCACATTTAGATCTATAGTATTCTGGTAAGGACATCTCTATATCGGGTACTTATATTTGTCCAGGCTATACTAATTGTAATACTAGGGTTATCTATTTGGTTATTACTGGAAACCGGTACTGCTTAATACCCTAGGCTGGGTTTACTATAATCTATATAAGTCTAGGTTATATAGTTATCGATTATTAGGGTTCCGATTTAGGAATGAAGGTTGCAGCTAAGGTAGTACTTAGTTTACTAGGACCTATATAACAATATTGGTGAATTTCTCTATAATGGTAGTAACAATTTTCTCTAGTAACTTTATATCGTTAGTACCCTCATTGCTATCATCCTTATTAGTATCGTCGGTACTAAACTACCGGGTATATACTATAATAGTATCGTAAATATCTTTAAATGTAGTAGTTAACGCTAGACAATCTATACCTCTAGTAATGACCACTTTCCCTTAGGTATATAATCTGTTGATGACTCTAACTTGTAGGGCCAAGTCTTTCTCTCCGTTACATATGCTTTTCAGCAGCCGGCTAGCCAATACCTCCCAAATCTCCGGTAACGTAATCTTATAATATAGTCTGTTGGCTTGCTTAAGGTAATCTTCCAAGGGTTTACCACTATAGTATTCAAAGGATACGGCTTACTATATTACTACTGCCGAGTTTATTATAGTTGTATAGGGAAATCGCTCTCGGAAGGCAGTTTAAATATAATCGTAGTTCTCTCGATTGCTAATATACTCTGTACGCTACCAATCCTTAGCTTTACTATACAAGCCGGTGCGAAATTTACTATAGGCAATATATTTAACTATTTCTATAGTAATGTCTGATAGATCGATGTTAATCTGAATATCTTCCAGATACTTTATAGCTAATTCTCCCTTCTAACTATAAAAGGTTAGCTATTACGATACTATATTGATGTAGTGTCTCTTAATAGGTAATACCGGTATATAAGAAGTAGGTTATAAAGTATAAGATAGAAGAGGTACGTTTTATAGTGATAGTAACGATAGTTCGGGGATTAACTTAGATAGTAATTATAGTAGTATAGTTAAATAGAAGTTATCTAGCAATTCCTCCTAACCTTAGGATTCTCGGGTATATAGTAATAATATCGATACTTATCTATCAGCCGGTTATATTAGACTAATATAAAGGTACTAAATATATTCCTCTAATTCCAAAACTAGGAATAAAACTAGTAATGATAATAGTATAAGTTACCTACTATATAACTCCAACGAAGATAATGATAATAGTATAATACGTTTACCCAATCTTTTCCCCTAAGAAGATAACTCCTACCTTATCTTTATTACTATAAGGAAGGAGTATAGCAACTCTCTATTATAAAAAAGGAAGTAACGAGGTCTCTAAGGATAGAAGTAACGGTATAGGTAAGCAGTTCGTTTCTACCCAGTATAGTATATTGGGGTTTCCTTATTAAGAGTATATTGTACTGTTTAATTCCCTAGTAACTAAACTCTCTAAAAATTTTCAAGTTATCTAACAGCTCGGAGCTGGCCAAGTTATCTAAGAGAAGTACCTTTACAATTATTGTAAACCGTTTCTTTCCAGTATCGTAGAATAATTTCTTTCAATTGTTACAGCTTCCGGTCAAACTCCAGTAGGCAAGAACAGAGCAAATCCTTAAAATCCCAGAGTAATTTCCAGTTTCTTCGGGGGAATATCGTAGGCCAAGCTATCACCAGCTACCTATCTTATCGTTCCAATATATATACTAACCAGCTTTACGAATTCGATCGAAATTTTTATAAGTAGTACTTTATATCGTCGCCTGCTCTTCCTAGCCTAGGTATCTCAAGAAACTAGGTTGGAAAACCTCCGGTATATTTATCCTTACATCCCTTCAAGCTCTCTTACACTCGTATTCGCTCGATTGTACTATCGGCTTGCGATACTCGTCGGCCGTTCGTAATAATACTTGTTGGTAGTAGTTTATCTTGTCGGTAATATGATGTTGTAGGTATATAAACTGTACGCCAACACTAGGCGGAAACTTAATGATCTCTGGATTACACCAGGCAAAACTCGTATCATCGATACAGCAACAAAACAAACAAAAATTCAGTCGGGAGCGGTTGATACGCTTCACCTCCTGTTACTGGGCACTATGAAAACACACTGATAAGATTGCTTGTTTTCTTCTAAGTTCTAATGGACCCACGCGTGATCCTTTTGTCCATAGGACACTGCTTAGTAATACACCCCACCAAAAAGTGGGCCTTCTGTCCACATGTCATCCATCCCTTCTTCAAGGGGCCTTCGACTGTTGAATGTTAGTGGGGTTCTATAACTTGCGGGCTTATAACTATTGAAATGCGCCGTTGTTCCGATTGTGGAGGTTGGAGAGAATACCACGGCAGGGGGCAACAAATACCAACTTTATACCCAACGACGGGGAGCACGCTGTGCACATGCTGTTACGCACCCAGATCCGATTTCACTTTTTGGCGTCATGTGGCATGTAAATAGCACCTTGCCCAACTTTGAGTTTGGTATCCTCGTGGCGCTGACCCTTGTCATCCTCATCGCGGAACCCTTTCCATTCTACAAGGCTGGAAGGCAGTGTCTCAAATGTTCAATCTCCCGTCTCAGGATTAATGGTGTCATCAATGGATGTCTCGAGGTAATCTTAGAGCCTGACTAGACGCTTGGGGATGGAACAGATCCGGGTACTTGGGCTGGTTGAATCATTCAGAATAGGTGACTGTTTTTAAAGATCTCTGTTGGGGCCTCTATCTAACAACTTGACAACCTGGAAGAACGGAGTCAACCCCGGCGCCTCTCCCATAGAAGGGTTGTTCTCAACAACGCCTGAACCGGCGTCGCCTCGATAGGTCACAACGCGCATCCTAGCAAGAGAGAGACAACATTCGAAGGGAAAAGGTAAGGAAACCGCAGCCACCCCGTCGCGACACAGACCGTGGCGACATCAGAACTCTTTCTGTCACTCTAACTCTCGAAGAGGGCAATTATCTTCTGGTTTCCGCGCTCCCCTGCAATCTGCTTCGCCGTCTTCCCCTCTTTGTTTGTTAAGGATGGATTACCTCCTCTCGCTAGCAGCGACTTCACACCCAACTCGAGGTCGTTCTCCACGGCAATCATCAACACCGTCCGTTGGTCCTCGTCCTGCCAGTTCAACATCCGATCGACTTCTGGATTCCAAATATGGCCAAGTAATCGCTGCAGGATATTCTCGGCCCGAGCCTTCGCCTCCTGCACCATGGTATCCGCCGCGTCATCACTCGAGGGCGGCTCGTTTGCTTTTTGGAGCTGCCCGATGACACTTCCCACACAGCCAGCCGCCAACGCCAGTATATTCCTATTCACAGCCTCCCCCCGTCCTAGGTAATCATACACTCCCCGGGTCAGGAAATATACCATCGCCTCCTGTCCGTACTTCGTGGCGAACAGTAATGGAGTCATTCCCTTGTCATTGGCACTGGCGTTCGTCGTCACGATTTGCATTGCAAGAAGGAGCTCTGCCTCCTTTCGTATTTTCTTGATGCCCTTTGCGACGGTGTTCTTTGTAACGCGATCGTCCTCGATAAGGAGCTGAAGGATGTCCGCGTGTCCGCTCATCGCGGCGACTATCATTGAAGATGCAAACTCTGTTACTGGAATGGCGTGTTTTTCCAGGAGCCGTTCGACGACTTGTCTTTTGCCCGAGCCCGCGGCGAGGGATAGAAAGTCTCTGTCAATGTCGGGTGGTATTGGCCCAGTATATTTAAACCCGATAATGTTGCTGTTGATGAATTCGAGGGCAACCTGAAACTTCTTCTTCTCCAAAAACGTCACAAATGGATGCCTGCCTGCTTCACAACTTTCCGTAGGCCATGGTTTTCCGAGATGTTTGAGAACGGCGACTTGCTCATCTTCGCCCCATTCTGCCTTGGCCAAAAGGTCAAACTCAATGTCCATGAGGGAGTCCCTGCCAGCGTAAGCAATGATGAATTCCGTGATGGATCCATGCGAGTTTCTTGCAGCATGAAGCAACGGCGTCATGCCGTGCTTGTCAGCGCTCGACTCGTAATCACCCTTGGCCCAGAGCAGTGATTGGACCACCTCGAGGTTGCCGCTCCTCGCAGCATGGTGTAGCGGTGTCATCTCTTCATTATCTCCGAGTTCCGTATCGGAGCCGCCTTCCAACAGTGCAGCCACGACCTTGGTCATACCATTGTCGGCAGCGATGGCGAGCGCCGTTTTTCCGGCCTCATCCTGTGCGTTAACATTTGTTCCCAGCTCCAAAGCCCGCTCCACAATGAGGCTGAAAAATTCGTCCATCAGATCGTCGTCCGTTGGGCCTTGCCCTCGCAATATTTGGTGGAGTGATGGTGGTATGCCGATGGCGAGACTCCTGAGGATTACAGCTGCCCGAGGCGTCGGGAAGAGGGCGCTGCTTTCGGAAGGTTCATTTACGCCTAGGGCTTGTATGTATTCATCCCGCAAGCCCTCTAGTGTCCCGAAGTCCCGTCCATCCCCCCGCCACCAATGCCCAAGGTTGGCGTGTTCGAGCCGCTCGTATAGGTTCAGTTCGGGCAAGTTCGGTTTGGGATTCCCCTGCTGACCAAGGAAGACGTGGTGAATATGCTGTAAAATGAGGCGTGCTGTAACATTTAAGACCTCTGATGAACGTGAAGGAGGGACCAAGGTAGATCCGAAATGACGGACGAGGATGCATCTGGCCGCTTCATCTAGTAGCGTGGCGCCTCGTTCCCACTGGCGAGTGAGTCGTAGATTCTTGGCGACCCGGCGGGTGGCGCGTAGCAAGCCTTCGTACGTGGATAGCCCCCGAGTGCCAATGGCGGGCAAGACCGTCAAAAGTAAATCTGTTTGTGACCCTAAATGGCAATCTTCAAGTATGGCCACTACTTCAGACACCAATGTATTATCCAGAAATGGTGAAGCCGTGCTAGAGAGGTTGACTCGGAACGTGCCACCGAGTCGGTCAACGATGGAGAAAAGAGATCGCAAGAAAAGGCCGAAGAAATCCTGAGCGCACATAATCGGTATTGGTGCATCTACTCTTTGGGCTTCAAAATCACAATCTGAAACAATGTGATCCTCAGCGCGAAGAGGGCCCGGGGGCACAGCGTACCAACCAAACAAGCGTTTGGTAGAGGGGAGCACGTTCGGTCCATTCCCTGATTCGGATGGCAACCCGGAATGTACAGAGTGGTGTGGTCGATACATTCGGGATTCAATAAACAGATCCTGGGATCCGTGGAATGAATCCTTCGGGGCCTGACCGGGTGAGTAAAAGATATCTGTTGGTGCGAGCCCTCGTTGGTTGCGGAGCCACAGCTGACCACCGTTAAGTTTGCCCAGACCCCACCTGCTACCAGAGTTGTCGGCTTTGATCGAAATTATTCGATAGTTTGTGACTTCGTCTGCTCCAGATATTCGCTGGCCGGTGGACTCGTCTCTGAAGTCGGTTCTGGCGTCGGCGCGAAGGGACCAACACCACAGCCCCAAGGCAACTTCCAAAACGGCTGGGTCGGTCGTCCATCGACCCCCTTGAGAGTTCCTGTGAATACTGAAGTATATCGGGAATGGCTCGTATTGTCGTCGAATGGTACCCAGAGCGTATACGGACCAGTAGAATGAGTCTGAATGCCTCCATCTCCCCTTGAATATCGTGTCACCCGAAAACAATGCATCGGCAACTCGTCCGATTGCGGAAGCAAGTTGAACCGCGAGCCCTCGGACTGCTACTTCACCGGCCGTCCAGCTCCGCATTGCTGCCGGTACCCTAAGGTCCGGGACCGCCAGGCATGTCTCTTGGCCCGTAAATTTGACAAGCTGCTTCCGCAGGGCGAATGCTTTCTTTGCGAAAGACAACTTCTCCGGCGACAATTTTGTTTCAGACGGAATCCGCAAATCCCTTATAGCGCCGAAAACGGGCACGCGCTCTTCTCCGTCTCCGGCGAGGGAAGCTTGGATTATTCGTTTCGCCCTGTCTCGATCCGAATCATGACGGAGAAGGAAAATTGATGAATCCCGCGTGCGGTGAATGCAATGATGGTTGTCCGAGGCGTGGCAGGCTCTGTGATGATGGCTCAGAGCCCCAGGGCTCTCGTCAGACCCAGTCAAAACCCACAGGGGCCGATATGCCACCCCAGTTTCGGTTGATTTGTTCGCAGTGGCAACACCACCCGGGGCGGTATCGCGACTGGCAAGACGCAGAGCAAGCCAGTCGAGCTCATAGCCACGGACAAAATCCGACACGCCTTCTAAAAGGTTTCTGGAAGGATCTAGCCTCCGAGTCCGAAGAAGGGATCGAACGAAGCTCATGAGCAAGGTGGCGGCCAATTGGGCTATGGACACGGATGGGTGGATGTCTCGCAAGCCGATGAATTGGAAAATGAACCCGAGCACACACATGGTAACGGCACCGTACACCGTTGGGCCTCCGACCAGCTGGGTTGAAGATCGCTCCGTTTTATCGGCGGGCGGTGCAAAGGCGTCGACTACGTTACCCGTGGCTTTCCATGAAGTCATGTACTCCTTCAGGTGATCGGTGTACGCAAAAGCGTCGAACTCTTGGTCGCCAACTCTCTGACCCCCAGGCTGGAGCCAGGCAAACTCGGGTCGGCGCTGCGGCCCAGGCCCTATCCCGTCACTAACTTGCTGAAACCTCCTCTTGGAAGTGCTTTCACCTACGAGAGATGCACACAGGAAAACCCCGGCGCATAACATGAGAGTGCCACAAGCCATCAGGGGGAATCCATACCTTGAGATCTCGGAATCTTCCCTTGAGAGACCAAGATAGTAGGTAATAACCGCCCCCAGCACAATGACGCCACCTTGAGCGGCGAGTCCGGTGGCCGCCGCTGCGTATTTGGCGGCAGCGGGAACTTTCTTCATCCAGACGTTGAGTGTAAGGTTAGGACTCGGAGCAAAAGGCTTCGATGCATTCCCTTCAACAATGGATGAGACGAAGACGTCGAAACCATTGCCTTGATCGGCCGGCCTGTCCTGTAGAAACCCTCCAAGCCTCCCGGCCGGCACCATCTCTGCCCATTTGCGTTTTTTGTTATTCTTGGCATCTTTCACAAAGTATTCTTGCACCGAGTACAAGCCAGCAGTTGTGTTGTCGTAGAATTCGTAGTCGCTGGCTGTTGGGTCGTAGACCAGCTCTAGCATCCGTGGCCTCCCAATAATCCGAGAGATACCGCCGTTGTTGTAGAGCTCACAGACATCACGACTGGTCGACGAGCAGAGCTCAGCCTCGATGGCGCCCATGCCCTCCTGAGACCGGCCGATGAAGGCCCGGAGGGACGAGCCGCCGCGAACACGGATGGCCGACACGACTGCCGTCAATATTCCGAGCGGGGCCATGGCGAAGATGAAGTAGTCGATGTACGTGAGACTCTCGCTCAAGTATTGCTTCGTCGGCGCCTCGCCAAACAGGGCAATGACTGGGGCCAGGTCCGTTCCGAGATTGTTGGCAAAGTCGTCCCACCAGTCAGCGGCAACCCGTAGGGGGGAAAGCCCGAGAAAAACGACCGCAAGGATAATAGGCATTTTGGATTAATAAAGGTCATTCAAGATAATTGCGTTCTTATGCGACGGCAAGGTCAGTGTCGGGCCAGTTGAAGCCTTTCCGCAGCCAAAAGTCGGCAGGCGGGGAGTCTTCAGAACTGCAAAGCCACCGGCAGAATCTCAGTTTTCTCGTCACCGTCTCAGAGCCTCGCCCACGTCACACAGCTCGCTTAACAGAGATTGGGTTCGGAAGCTGATGCAGTAGGTAGCCAATCAGGCGGTGCAACCTCAACGCCCCGAGCCAAACGGGAAAGCTGAGGCATGCCTGCGGCGGTCGTTCCCAGGCTCGGGGTCCATGACAGCCTATGGAGACTCTACACGTGTACCCCTCCCACCTGAATGGAGACTCAAATATTGTACTTGGGGGCGGCCACCCTTCTACGTTGACAAGCAGGGTCAACCTAGCGTCTTGGAGCGAGCGTCGATGAGAGGATGCCGCCGCCGGTCGAGTTGCCTACGGCGGGATCATCCGCCCGTGCGGATGGAGTCGCCGCCGCCAGGTTCCTACAGGGGGAAGTCCGAGGTCCCGGGACTGGAGGGGCATTATAGGCCGGGCGGGAAGCGACGGGTTAGAACGCCTCCTTATTGCGGTGAGTGAGATGCATCGAGCTTCGCAGATGATTACGTGGAAGGGTAGAGATTGAAGCGCGGACGGAGTAAGGAGATGTCTGAGAGTACCTAAGGAACGACAAGGTACATGTATGTACCTAGGCACGGAATAGGGGTTCTGCCTCTTCTGGGCGACCTGCCCCCCCTGCAAAAGCTGCCCAATCTGGGTGATGTCGCAGTGGCGGCTCTCCTCTTCCGTAATAGTCGTTCAATTCTTGCAGCGCCAACAACCGGGGCCCCGGTATGTGATTACATGATGGGGAGCAGATAAATGTCCCTCCCCGCTCGCAACGAATAAAATTTCGCCATCCACCTCTCATCCAAAACTCTGTGACCTCGCCATCATGGCGCGGATAATTCTTACTTCGGTTTGCCTCCTCTTGGCCTTGGCCCCGTTTTCATTTGCCGCAGACGGAGAGGGAGAGGGCAAAGGAAAGGGAAAGGGAAGCGGCCGACCAGTCACCACGATTCACAGAGATGTCGCCATCGTCGGTGGGGGCGCTGCTGGCTCCTATTCCGCCGTGAGATTGCGCGAGGAGTTTGGGGTGACGGTTGTTGTGGTTGAGAAGGACAGCAAGCTGGTGCGTTCAAGTTCCCCAGCCCTGCCTTGACCACCTCAAGCGCTGACATGTGTCTTTTGCAGGGGGGCCACGTCAATACTTGGGTTGATCCGGCTACGGGGAGGGGTTTCGATGCGGGTGTCCAAAACTGGATCGAGATCAATAATGCCTCGTCCTTCTTTGAACGTTTCGGCGTGGCAGTGCAGCCCAATGTTCGGTCGGTTTTGGACCAGCACTTTGTCGACTTCGCAACCGGCACTCGACTGACCAACTACACGCCCCCTCCTACGGCCGACCGCTCTGCTGCTCTGAGAAGGTATCTCGCAGCAGCCGAACAATTTCTTCCCATTCTTGAGCCCGGATGGTGGAACTTCCCCGAGCCCAGCCAGATCCCAGTTGATCTGCTTTTGCCCTTTCGCGACTTTGCGGCAAAACACAACCTGACGGCTGGCATCCCCCAGATCTTTGCCACTACTGGATTTGGCAAGCACAACTTTCTGGATTCCATGACGCTTTTCTTGATGCGCAGCTTCGACTTCAGCATGGCACGGACGTTGCTGGGACTTGAGGCCAATTTTGTGCCTGTTTCTCGTAGGAACCAGGACCTGTACGACGCCATCTCGGACTTTCTCGGTCCGGATGCGCTCACCAGCAGTACTGTCACCGATGCGCAGAGATTGAATGGCAACGGAGGTGCTACCCTGGAGGTTTACAATTGGGCAACCGGTACCACCACGCGGGTGGTCGCCAAGAAGCTTCTCTTTACTGTTGCTCCCACAGAGGAGAACCTGAAGCCATTCGACCTCGACGGTGATGAGAAGAGCGCCTTCGACGGGTTATATTATAGCAGCAGCGTTGTGGGCATTGTTTCTCACCCATCTCTCCCGCTCAACGCCTCCGTCGTCAACACACCGGCTGCGGCGCAACCGGACAACTGGGTTGCTGCTGTTCCTTCGTATCCTTTCACTGCACGGTTCGAGAACTACCCCAATTCGACTTACTATCGCGTCATTGCGGTTGGCGATCAAACATTCACCAAAGAACAGGCAAGAGATGTCATTCAAGGTTCCTTCGACAGGATGGTGGCGGCGGGAACTCTACAGCAGACAACACCACCCCAGGACCTAACCTTTCACCTTCTCGAGTCGCATGGGCCGGTGAGCGCGTCAGCATCGAAGCAGGTGGTTGACACTGGCATTATTCAAAAGCTCAACGGCCTGCAGGGGAGCCGATCAACGTGGTACACGGGTGCCGCATGGAGTGTGCATCTGACAACCAGCTTGTGGAGGTTCACCGATACGGTATTGTCGAGGGTGGTGGCAAGTTTGTAAAGGGGAAGGGGGGTAATGTTTACTCAATCTACCTTATCTACCAATCTAAATTAGATGACAGCTGATACACTCCGGGCCACATGCTTAACTCTGAGCAGGCAGCCTTTTGTGCGAAAACACACGTATTTTGACGCATGCTTTGTGTGTGAGGAGATAGTCCCTGGGCTGATCTGACTTCACGGTCAACTTAGAACAAGACAAACGGCATGTATTCCACCTTAGAAAACGCTCGTAAGGAGTCGTTCCTACTTGCCCCCAGCCCCCACCAAATCCCCGAATCGAGTACCCGGCTGTGCAGCCAAAACAACCGGGTTCCCAACCTCGACAATCTCACCCCTATCCATAACAACAACTCTATCAAAGTCCATAATCATCTCCAACCGATGGCTAACCGCCAGGATAGTGTACCCCTGAAACTCACTCCTGATGATCTCCTGCATAACCCGCTCCGTTTCCCGGTCCACGCTAGAACTGACCTCATCCAACAGCAATATCCCCCCACACCCCGAACCCCCACCACCATCACCACCACCAACCCCAACCCCCCCATCACTCTCCCGCCACCGCCGTGCCCTCACCCTACCACGTAGCACAGCCCGCCCCAACGACAACAACTGCCTCTGCCCCGCGCTCAGCGCCGCGGCGCTCAGCCCGGCATCCAAGCCCCCGCGTCCCTCCACAAAGCCCCACAGCCCGACCGCCTCCAGGACGGCCTGGCATTCCTCGGCCGTGCAGGCGCCCCCTTCCGCTGCCGCTCCCGCTCCCGATCCCGACGGGTCTAGGTTCGCCTGCACAGTGGAGCCGTCTGGTAGGAAGACGGCTTCTTGTGGGATGGCGATGAGGCGCGAGCGGAGGGTGGTGCGGTTGATGTGGTGGAGGGGGGTGTGGTCGATGGTTATAGTGTTGTTGTTGTTGTTGTTGTTGTTGTTGTTGTTGTTGTTGTCGTTGTTGTTGTTGTTGTTGTTGGTTGGTGTCTCGTGGAGAGGGTCGAGGAGTTTGAGGAGCAGGGCGATCAGGCTGGACTTGCCGCTGCCGGTGCGGCCGCAGATGGCGACTTTCTCGCCTGGGTGGATGGTAAGGCGGATATCCCGGAGGGCTAGGTCGGACCGTTCGCTGCCGCTGTTGTTGTCGTTGCTGTGGGGTTGGTCGTCGTCGTCCTCCGTGGGACGGTACGTCGCCGAGACACCGTTAAACTCTATTGTTCCACTTTGAGGCCATTGTTCTGGAGGATCAAGATCTTCATGCTCTCTGTCCTCTGGTTTGACGGTTTCGTTGAACGTCTTGAGTCTAGCCACCGCCCCGATGGACGTTTCCAGCCGGGTGTAGTAGATGACAATACCGGAGAGGTTTTCCCCGAAACTGACGAGGGTGAAGAGGGAAGCGCCGGCGAAAGCTGAGTTGGAGTGGAGCTGCACGGCGAGAGTGGTTAGGAGCGCGGCGATCACCATGACGACGACGTCGAGAACGAGGTTCAGCCACTCCTGGATCATCATCAGGAGGTACGCTGGCCGCTGGCTGGAATCAATCAAGCGAGCATTCTTGTTGATGTCATCCGCAAGGGAGCCTGCTCATTACTACCGTTAGCGGCGGCGTCGTGTCCGAACAGGGGAGTTAATTATGTTGAGTTGTCGTTTATAAGCCAGATGGTACCTACCGAATGCCCTTAGAGTTACGATGCCCTTACAAGTGTCGATAAAGTGCGTGCTAAAGGAACGTAAAATCAGCCTTGGGCATCTGTCTGAAATGGCGGGTAATAGTATGTTCACTTACTACAAGGGACTTTTCGCCTCGAGGTCGAGGAGACGGAGCTGTCTGGAGGTCCGTAAGTAGAATCTTTGTATGATGTACAAAAGGCCGCCGAGAAACGGGTAGCTTATGGCCAAGTATAGAGACGAAGTAAGCATGACAGCTGCTTGCCCGAGCGCTTGAAAGACCTGCGGAGCTCATGTCAGATATGTTGTTGAGCCCGGGTAAAAAACGACACTGCCGATGTTTCGATTCGAACTCATACAAAACAGAGTGTTCAACGTTGTATCCGGTAGCTCTGTATCGATGAGGTTCAGATCTTGCGAGAACAAGTTCGTAACTACACCGGTATCCGTCTTTGTGAAGAACGAAAGGGGCGCCTGCATCAGCGTCCGCAGGGCATCCTGGTGTAAACGTGCACCCGCTCTTTTAACAGAGGAAATAAAAAGGATAATGCCGAGGAGAAGCAGCGAAATCATAGCGCTGATCTGGAGCAAGGTGTAGATGCCGATGTAATAGGCGAAAGAGTGCGCTGGGTGTTCCGAGGACAAGCAAGTCATCCGACCAGTATGTAAGCCCTGCCAGCTTGTGAGTTTTACGATACCGTAGTGAGCAGAGTAAGAAGCCGACTCACAAATTGTGGGAAAGTTGGTAAAAAAACCCCAGAGGGCGGCGAAAAACAAACTAGACGCCGCCAGGAACCAACCCATGCTCTTGACATAATGCTTGTAAACAGTCCTATCACCCACTTGACGAGACTCACTCGTGTCTGGTACCACAACAGTTGTCTCGATGGACGAAGAGGGGAGCAATTGTGTCGCGGATTCCCGCACGCGTTTCTTCGGCCTTCTCTCTTCGGATGAAGAGCCTTCGCTGTTGGAAGAGGAACCACCCAGCCCCAGGCGGTGAACGTACCCTTGACCGTTAGACATTAGTTGGCCAAAGGTGCCCTGCTCGACAATGGTGCCGCCGCCGAGTGCGATGATGTAGTCCACCGCGGGGAGGTGCCCAATGCTGTGGGTGCACAATACAACCGTCGACCGTCGTCGCCGGAGGACTCCGTCCGGCCTAAAGACGTTCTGGAAGACCTGCTCCTCGGTGTCGGCGTCCAAACCACTGAATATATCGTCCAGCACTAGCAGATCAGATTGCAGGTACAGAGCCCGCGCAAGGGAAACGCGTTGTTTCTGGCCGCCGGACAGGGCGATACCATCCGATCCGACATTCGTCCGGTCTCCTTGTGGGAGCATGGTAAAGTCGAAACGCAGACATGTCGCATTGACCACTTCGGCATACCTTCCACTATCGAATGGCGAGAAGCCAACAATGTTGTCTCTGATCGAGCCGTTGAAAAGGAACGGCGTCTGGTCGCAAAATCCGATGCGAGAGAAGCGGGCGCCCAACACGACGCTTCCTTCGCTGAGAGGGATCTCGCCAAGCAGCGCCTTACTGAGCGTCGATTTCCCCGATCCAACCGGTCCGATGATTGCGGTCAGTGAGGACTCGGACACTTGGGTGTTGATGTCCCGCAAGACAAACTCGTCCGCTTCCCAGCCAAACCTGCCATCTTTTACAACAATGGGATACGCTGAGTCCGGACTATCAGGCCCTGCCTCGCGCGTCTTCTCTACATTGCTTTTCAAGTCGGCGTAGACCTTGCGAAAGTCCTGGCGCGTCTCGCGCCCCAGAAACGCCTGGATTCGGCCCAGACAAGCCAGCCCAGAGGCGAGTTCGGGGACCGCCTAAAAGATCTGCGACAGCGGGGTAGTCAGGAGGGTGAGAAACGAGAGAGTCGCAAAGAGACTCGAGACATCCGGTGCCCGTGGAGCGAATGCGAAGGTGAGCGGCGGGCTGAGAAGCTGGGAGCTAAAGGCGAAGAGCGCTGCGATGATGGTCACTTTGCGGAACCGTGCTCCTGCGGCCAGCTCCTCGATGCGGAGGTTCTGCACAAAGTCGCTGATGGCAACCGAGAGGCCCGACATCTTCAGATTCTTCATGCCGGCGATGACCGTGGCCGTCAGCCCGACGCGCTTCTGGACACCAGCCATCCACGACCTCTGAGAGTCCCCGGTGAAGTTGATGAGAATCCCCACGCCGGCAAAGCAGACGGTAACAGTTGCCAGCGGTGCAACGAAGGCGAGCCCGAGCCGAGTGTACAGCATCCACGCGGCTAGGGCAGCCTGGGTCATGCCTGCCCACACCTCGTGCAGGGCCCGGAAGCCGACCTTGATCCGCTCGACATCGGTGCTCATCAATGTCAGGGCCGAGTTGTTATCGGCAGTTCCGATACGTGACCTCGTAGCTTGAACGAAGGTCTCGGTGACCAGTATCGACCTCGCCATGGTGCGCATTCGGTGGTGAAAGTACCTATGCTCGCTTGTAAGTATACCATCCGCTGCGAGTCGTTCGGTTGGTTCTGCCTACCCGGACAGGGCCGACGAGATTGCAACGCCCCCGTAGATCAGTATACTGGCGCCGATGAAGCCGTATCCAATATTCGGGTCGAGAGCTCCAGGGTTCGAGAGGTATTCCAACAACTTCTCGAGGAACAGTGGCTGGCAAAACTTGAAACCCACAAGTGCCAGACGCGGAATGACAGGAAGCAGAAGGGGCACCTTGAGCGTACGCACAAGCACCTTTGCAAGACCGAACTTGTCTCCCTTCAACTTGGAATGGTCCATCTTGGCAGCAAAGCGGTCGTGGAGCAGCTTGGCGTCAAAAGTGCTGTCAAGGGGGTACAGGTCTTCCAGGGCCAAGACCTTCTTGTACCCAGCCAGAAACATCTTGTTCAGCCAGAAGAAGACACTCAGCGAAAAGATGCCGCTCGTCTCCTCTGGGCTGTGCTTCTTCACGTCCCAGTTGACCCATTTTGACTTGTGGCGGGCTTCTAACAGCAATATTCCAGCCTTGACAGCCACAGCGGCAGTGAATATGGCGCTGTAGGTGGACTCGGATCTGTCGTCCGACGAGAGAAACAGCGTTCTTGCCTGGGCAGCGTCAAGGAGCAGAGTCAAAGACAAGTATATGTTTAGCAGCACAGACGGCCGCGGGCTTCTGCTATGATCAAGGACGCTGAGCAAGGTCATGAACAACGCCGACACAAGCTTCAGGGCCGAGGAAGCCAGAAATGCGGTGGTCACACGGAAGGATCCATGGGCAGCAAGGATGAGGAGTGAGACTTCAAGTCCGACATAGGATAGAATGGCAGCCTGGTCTGATGCATCAGCGCACTGAGACTTGAAATTAGATAGGAACAGCAGAAGAGCATGGCACCCTACGACTTTGGTGACTTGAAAGGCGGGAGCATGCACCACGATGGGCTTCCGAGTCTGGGAAATTGCCCGCCAGATGGATATTGCGATAAATAAGGCGGATGGTAGGATGGAGAAGAAGACATGTTCGAACTGCAGGCCGAAGTCAAAGTCATGGTCTTGGTTCAGCTGGAGTATGTCGTTCTCTCCCACGGTGAAGGGCATCATGGATTCCTGGACGTCTAAGGTCCGCAGCAATGACGGCTTGTCGGTCGATTCAGGCTGACTTGGCTACCTACCTAGGTAGGGAAGAAAGAGAAGTGACTCAGGACAGGGAAGGGCGACGGCCGCGGTTGAACTCGGAACGCGTCGGCCCATTGGGGGTGTCCAATCAGAGGAGGTGATAGATTGAGCTTCAGGCTGACGCGTTCCAACAACCTCCAGTCGGCGGTCACGAGAGGTCCGAGGTGGGGAGGGTGAATAAGGTTCACTCGCAACTACGGTAGGTTTCCTGCTTTCTCCTAACACTCCAGTCGGTGCGTATGCCCGTTCACGCCAACATTACATGTCGTATCTCATGAGAAATGCCAGATCTCTGCTCCACATCCAGTTCACCCACAATGAAGTCCCAAACTTCCTTCCGCGAAGACGAATCACGAGTGTACGGGCTCGCTTCGTCCTCCCAGATCCTATTCATGTATTTGGCACCACCCCTGAACTCGTCTGTGCCATCTGCCTTCAGTCCGAGCTCGGAGCTGGTGGCCGCATTGACAATAGCCAAGCTGCCCTGCCGTGAATCGATCCCAAACCAGTCAAGCAGGGACATCAACAACCAAGTAAACGGATCGGCCCTCCTGGCTGCGCCGCTAGCTTCCTGGAGCGGCCTCCAAATGCCGGTTTTGACATAGCCTGGATGGAGGCCGTGCACGACGATATGACTGTAGTCAGGGTGCTGAAGCAGCCGGAGCTGTAGTTCGGTGAGCCAAATTTGAAGGTACAGCTTGTTGTTGGCGTATGCGGTACCACCGGCGTTGGCATTCGACAAGTCGTATTTCCCCAGGTAGTGCGTGCAAGACGTGGTGAATAGGATGCGTGGACGGGAAGCCTTGGAGATGGAGGGTAGCAGACTCAATGTCAAGAGTGTGTGCGATAGGAAGTTGACCTGATGGCACATCTCGAATCCATCCTTCGTCAAGACAACCTGACCGAGTCCTGGCGCCATACCCGCGTTGTTCACCAGTATATCCAGCGGCCTGCCGGTCTTGATCCATCGCTCCGCCAGAGCCTCAACGGATGTCATGTCGGCCATGTCGCATTCCCACCACTCGACCTCCACTGGATCCTCGCCACGCTCTCCAGAGGCCGCCCGGCACTCCTCGACAACAGCCTCCGGGTGCGTCTCGTATGGCGGCGGCTGCCGGCACGCCAGAACCAGGCTAGCCCCCGATCTGGCGAGCTGAATTGCGGCTTCCCGTCCGATGCCGTTGTTTGAGCCTGTGATCAAAACCCATTTACCTCGCAAGTCGGCCGCTGGCACCGTCACATGTGCACTATACGTGCCTTTGAGTGCCTTCATGGCGCTCCAGATAATGGAAACCTGAGGACGAGGGGCTGGGGAGGTCATTATGGATGTCGGATGACTGGACAAAACTGATGATGAGCCGTGGTCTGATGAAAATAAAGGTTGGGTTCAGTGAATATGCTTGTTTAGGTAGGTACCTAGGCTTATCTTTGATGCTGTTCGTGGCGCGTGAATCTGCGAAGTTTGTATGCGGAGGGGCTGTGGTCAGGAACCGTGGACAAAAACAGGACTTCCTCTCCCCTGGTGTTGCAATTTTCTTGGGGTAGCTCGGTCCCTCCCAACTCCTGCCAGCGGGGTAGGCTGACCACATGTGGCTGACTGCACAAGTACCAGGCATGGCTGGAGATGCTTTGACGTACTTCAATACGTCTGACGAACCAGCCATCATCCAGCGAAACAGGAAGGTCGGACAGATCCGAGTCTGGAGCTTCCCCAGTTTGTTGATTGCGTCTGTCAGGTCTTTGATGTGCGCCGCATCCTTGCGGATTTGATCGCTCGGCCGCCAGTTCGCCAACCTTCCTCTTCACGGTAAATGGTCCGGTTCGCTGCTGCGACCATTTCCTGTGCGGATTACTTACCGGTATGTATATACCTGAACAATCAGCCGCCGCCAAGAAAGCTGTAACGACCCAAGGCACCCAACCAAGACGCAGTTGACCCAAACATCCCCTGACACAGGACCGGAAATTGCCAGATCAGCTTGTTATTCCTTAAATATCTCCCGACTCCATACACGCTTCAATTTTTTGACATAATCATCTGCGAAGCTCAGTACATCCCACCAACCTCAATAAGGAGGCATTCTAACCCCATCACTCACCACCCGGCTTGTAATGCCCCTCCAGTCCCCGAACACGTATCCCTCCCCGTCCTCCGCCTCCTCCCTCGCTCTTGCCAGACTCTTTTTGTCGTCATCGCCAGCACGGTACGGGACACCCAGGAGCCGGCACACGCCGACATATGCATCGTAGGAACTAAGATAAAGCTGGCCTGCGAAAAACAGCAGTGACATTCTCATGGCATTTGTCTTGTCACCCTTATTTTCAGCGTACAAGCGCTTCGCGACCCTGTTGTTGTGATTTCTTTGAGAATCCCCACTCGCCATCATGTGCGGAGGCCGGGAATTTGATGTCCTGTATATGTGCGACACGACTGTTCGTTTCTGTACCAGAGAACACGATAATACTACAACATGAACGGCTCAAGAGGCCCAGACCCCGGACACCTCTTCTCCCAGCCCATCAACAAGCCCCAACGCCCCCGGACCTATCCCCCACCGTCACCCAACAACCGCAAACCTCAACAACCCCAACACCGCCCCCGCCACGCACGCCACCGGCGGGCTCACCCCAAACCAGCACCCACCCACATAACTCGACGCGGTCACGACCACCCACCACGGATCCTCAGCCAAGCTCGCGCCCCTCTCAAACCCCTCATCGATCCACCCGATCTGCCATAGGCGGTAGACAGCCGTGTAGATGAGGCCGACTGCAGCGGCGTTGACCCCGCGCACCTTGCCCCACACCCCGACCGTGCCGTGCACTGTGGCCAGGCCGGGCAGGTAGATGGCCAGGTAGCCGAGGACGGCGCCCGCGGCGGGCGGGTGGCCGGCGTTGGCGGCGGTCAGGGCGCCGAGGTAGACGGCGAAGTTGAAATTTGGGCCGGGGAGGGATTCTGTTCGGGGGTTTAGTTGGTTGTGTTGTTTTCTTTTTGTAGGGGGAATGTATGCGGTGTTTGCGGGGGAAGGGGGGGGGGGGGGGGGTTGGATACGCGGCCTAGAGGGCTAATTATAGAAAGGTAAAGGGGATAGAAGAATAACTGAGAGGAGCAGGGCGGAGGTGAAGGAAGGAAAGGGAACCCACGAATAATAGCCAGGCCAATTAGGAAGTCGCGCGTCGATACCCATCCCTCGGCAACGATATACTCGCGGAGGAGGGGGATCACAACAGGGCCACCGCCAAATATAATGGTACCGGCCAGGTAGAGGTTGGAGAAAAGGCGGTAGAGGAGGGGTGGTTGCGGGAGGGTACTACGGAGCACCATGATAACGACGAATGAGGCGAGAAAGAGCAAGATCAGGGAGAGGCCCGCTTTCCAGCCCATAGTGGTCGGCGTGTCGGCCTGGGTCTGGAGGTCGTGTGTTGAGGGGACGGTTCGCGCCTCGTCTGATACAGTGTTTCCTCTGGTACCGTCGTTATTGTCGGTGTGGCCGGTAGCGGGAGTGTCATCGTCGGTGTTGGCAAGGACTCGTTGGCGGGCGGACGTCGTGGATGGCGCGCGGGAGGGGGTTTGTTCGCTAGCGTGCTGTGGTTGTTGCGACAGTTCAATCTCGCTTTCTTCCTGCGCTGCCTCTGCCTCGGCCTCCCTGTTCTTCCTATTGCTCCCTCTGGCCCTCCTCGGCAGTCCAACAGCCCACTTCACCGGCCCATGGAGCCAGCGGAAATCATAGACAACGGCGATAATACCGGCACCCAACATAAGTAGCGGGAAATACCACAGCGCATTGTACAGCAGCCCGGCCGCGGCCCCGAAGAACCAACAGTCGCGTGAGCTTGTCAGTAATAGCCTTCTGGGCTAACTGCACGGCGGCCAGGGCATAATGCCCACCGTAGCGGCGTTCAGGCCCGACAGTAGCGCATATACAGCCCGGGGGAGGGTCTCGCCGATGTTGGATATACCAATGGCGAGGCCAAACATGCCCAGCGCAGCAGGAAGACTGTCCCTCACCATGTCAGTGTTCCTCTCCGGAAAGGGAGTAACGAAAAGATTGGTAGGGAGGTGTAAGTAAGCAAGGCAAAACCGACCTCCAGAACAAAAACCCCAACACAGCCGGCAAAAACCCGTCGTGCATCAAGTTGATGCAGTACAGCATCTTGGTGCTGCCCGGCCCGGAAAAGGCCTGGCACACGCTGAACAGCTCTTGGTACTGATATTCCACATGTAAAGTCAGTCATGTCTCCTGCCCTGAGGTCGTTGGGTGCAGGTAAGGTGAAATGATGTCAAACTTGGAACTCACCACCTGCTCATCGATCCACTGCAGTTTGGTGACAAACTTGTCATGGAACTGGAAACGATTGGATTAGCAATTGGCTCCAAGAAGACATACGTTAATAAACCCGGGAGAGTAGGCTGGCTGGGTAAAGCCAAGTAAGTACATACAATCTTGAAGTGCACCGGAGGCCCTCCAAAGGAAGTGAAGCCGAGATACCACGTCTCGCGGGCCGTGTTCCAGAGCCGCGGCGTCACGTTCCAGTTGGACACGGCATCCCAAGCCCAAGCGCTGGGTGAGCAACGCTGTTTAATTCCCATGGTCGATGCTGAGTCGAAATGTGCCCAAGTACGGGTGGTCTTTCAGAGGCAGAGCCGTCTGGGGCCTCTTGTAAGTCGCCGGAAAAGTCGTCCAAAATGGCAGTTAAGTCTACTTGCCAAACTTTTTGATGGGAGAGAAGTCGATGTGACTAACGTCGTTCAAGTCGCCAGCTCCAGCGACCTTTATGACTGACAACCCCTTTCAACTGTTCTTGCATTGTGAATCTCAAGGTTTGCTCGATATTCGGTAGCGCGGATGGTGGCGTTCGGCGAGCTTGAAAGGGAAAGGGGCGTCAACGGCGTTTCCCGCGCCAAGGTCTTGGGTTCGTGTCAGTGGCATCTCTGGTACGCAGGCTCGAACACGTGGAGCTGGCGACACCTCAGCTCATTTCGACTTGACATGTTTGGTGTGTGTTGCAGTTTGGGGCGGTTTGGCAGCAGCTAACAGCCAAGTCTACCGCTCGCCATAACGAGCGACTCGAAAACGTCCTGGGCTTGATCCGAGGAGATGAAAGAGGGGCATTGGGAATGATGGGAGGAGAGTAGAGAGGGCGATGAAGGAGTGGCTTTCTTCAAGCAGACAGAGAAGGCGAGATAGCTAGGTACCCATTCTCATTCAACCGGAATAAGTGCTGGTTCAGCACCCTCAGCTTCAACCGTATAAGCCTTCCACCCTGCCTTGGGAAGATCAATGGTGCTGTCCTCTGCCAGAAACTTCATAAACACGCCATGCGTGACCACGACGATGTCCCTCTTCGTCTCAGGCACGCCATCCTCCGCCAGTCGATTGGCCAATTCCTGCAGTTTCCGCCTCACGGTTTTGGCGCGTGCAGCGACGGCTTCGTCATCAGCCGCGTACGGGCCCTCCTTGACATACCAGTGATCCTCAAGAGAGCGTTGAAACCCGACACCCAAATGCCCGAACCTCTCCCCGAGAGTCGCTAGGTCGGAGCCGGTATCACAAGGAAGGTCGCTGCGCTCCTGCAGATCCGGATCGAGAACAAGTTCAACGCCGTCCTCGATAATGGCGCCGAAAGCGGCCAGGGTGGTCTGGATGGCGCGCGTCATTGGCGAGGCGAGAACGACAGCAGCGGATGAAAGGGCAGGAAATGAGGTGGCGAGGGCTGATGCTTGTGTCAATCCAAGGTCGGTAAGTTCGGGGTCGCGAATGTTGAAGTCTTTGGTAACATTGTGTACCGATTCGGCGTGGCGGACGAGATAAATGGTCGACGGCATATTTGCTCTTGTGCTTCTTCTAAATCCTCTCTGTTGTTCGGGAACAGGAACAGGAAAGTGCAAGGCGGGGATTCGCCGGGGACTGCCTTCCAAGTTATTTCAATACATTTCAAGTTGGATGCACTGAAAACGGGCGGTGGTTGAAAGCGAGGCTATAATGCTATTATTTACCACCTAGGTACCTAGTTGCGACATTAAGCCACGCAAGCACGTCAACGGTCCCAACGTCGCTAAAGGGTACGACATCCGGCCGTCTCCTCCCGACGGCCATCACACCGCCATCCCCATTACGACGCGGTCACCTAGAGTAACGACCGGCCACCGCATCCCGCTTAGAAAGCTGAAAAAAGTTGAAGACGGCCTTGAAATTGTAGCTGACTCCAGGAATCCAGGTAGCTTCGCCCGTACTCGAAATACCTAGGTAACACGCAGCCCAAGGCCACCACTCACAAGTTTAGGTACTCACAACTCCAAGGTCGCACCAGCAACACCCACGACGGCCGCCTTAACGTTTGCAGATCCGAGCAGCGTATATTCGTATGGCACTTCCGTCAGCGTGCCAGCCGGTGCCTCATTTGTGCCAGTGCCCAAATCAACATCTCTCACGACGGCATACCCGCCCTTTGCGATGACGCAGTCCTTTGAGTCCTCGAATACGCACGACTCAACGAGCAGCTGAGCACCAACGCGCGTACGGATCCCATCTTCCACTTGGTTCCAATAGTTATTGAAAAGATGGCCAGTGCCGATACGGTAACTGGGGCCACGGCTGTAGAGGTTGAAGAAGTGGTTGTTGGCGTACGTCACATGCAGGCGGCCAGTATCTTCGGCCTGGTTGTTGTCGGAGTGGCCGACTAGAGAGCCCTTCCAGTGGTCGTGCATGTAAGTGTTGGAGATGGTTACGAAGTCCTGTTCCGATGTAAGTTTCCATTCTCGACTGGCAACACACTCCTTGGTCCACTCACCGAGGCTCTAGTAACGTCGAGGAGTCCGTCATAAAAGTCTTTGTCATGGTCTCTGTCGTTGCTCAAGTCTAGATGGTCGATCCAAACGTTCGTCGAGTACTTGATTGTAATCATGTCTTCGAACGTCGCTTCGACTTTCTGGTGCACTGTGTTGCGGATGATGACGTTGGTCGCATTTATAACCGAGAGGCCAACGCCAACGATTGCTGCGACCTGTCAGCTATAATACGGCGAGGGCATGATGGATGATTCTCACTGCCGCCGCGACCTATGATCGATTTGTTGCTTCCAACAAACACTTTCTTTGCCCCAGAAATGGTACCCGAGACGACGACAATGCGAGGATCGTTCCCGGCAACCGCGCTTTCTAGGTCCGCAAGGGTTGACACGATGACCGTCTCCCCACCTTTGCCTCCGGAAGTACTGCGCGTCGTCAACAACGTGTTCTTTGAATGGGGATGTTGCTATCTTACCCGGCGCCCAGAGTACAGTAGCCGACCGTACAAACATCATCCAAGGATGCGGCAGCCACAGAGCCCAGATGGCTAGCTAAGCACGAGAGAACTACCAGTAGGCTGCGCATTGTTTTTTCGGGAGCCTGTGCTGAGTTGGTGACTTCAATGGTGTGGTATACTCGGCTTCACCAAGCACAACAGGGGACTTATAAGCATTCTTACCAGTACCGTCCATGTCTTCTCTTCTTGTTTTGCCCATACAGAGAATGGTTCTTCCGGATGCCAAGTAGGTATCGCTGCAAATCTCAGTGGCATGTCCGTTGTGGTGTTGGTGTCGCTGTGGTGTCATTGGCGGAGCAACTCGACCGGTACGAGTAGTGTCGGAGGAAGTCAGGTCCGGAGTCCCACCTCGATTTTCGCTCAAATCAACGCAAAGCAGAGGGCTCCAAGCTCCCCTGGCTGCCGGGGGTGCCACCCCGAGTGGGGCTCCGGGTCCGGTTCCCCTGACTGACCGACCTCCTACGTACAGGAGGCAGGTATTCAATCCAGATTTGAGGGAGGAATCGGCGGAATCTCCTCCACCTTGCTTCTAAACCATAAGCAGATTCTTCCTCCAGACGAAGACGTGGCTCAGTCTGTAGCGGATTCGTTGTCACTTGCCACAAGCGTCCTCGCCGACACTCATGTCTGCTCTCCCATCGACCCGTGACATCACTCGTCTGCGACTCAACCGCAGTCTCCAGATCGGGCTAATCCGTATACTCGGTATCAGATGACGCGCCGTAAGAAAAACATTGCCCACTGACGCAACGCCGTCCGAGGCATACGCAGCGTCCTCAGACATATTTCAACCATCCCCGCTCCCATCCCTGAAATCTCCGCACTTTCGCGCCTGCGCGTGCCCAGCCTGCTTAATCCAAAACGGATGCGCTCCCAACTCGCCGGGGACCTGTAACCAGCTCCACTTGTTGTCCTTTAATAGCAGGTCGCCATGAATTGCCCTGGCCGACCGCGACACGCTCCCGGAAACGCACCCCGCCGGGAAGCCGACCGTCCCGAGCCCGCCAGGAACTGGCTCGGAGACACACTCAGCACGGGCAGTTCGGCCCCGGCAGGTTTTCGGCTCCCCGAACAGGGCTGCGCGGGAGGAGGTACCGGAGGACCAGTCGGCGGTGGGGTTTGTAGTTGGGGCGGATACGGAGCCGGGGGATGTTGAGGTTTCTGAATGTGCCGTGGATGATGAGTGAGGCGGTACTGGACGTGCACTGGTGTCCTTGTGATATGCGGCTACCCTCTCGTGCCCGTTCGGGATTATTGCAGATCGGTAGGTGTACCATGTTAGGACCTGCTCTATATGTGATTACATGCCCGTACGTAGCCACGGGGACGCAGCGTAACCACCAACTCTAGCACCTGAAGAGTCAACTGACATTGCTGTCACCATGGTAAGAACCTTGTCAATAGCTTGCAAGTCTCCCGCCGGATTTTCTCCTTCTTCAAGCACAAATTGTTGTTGGCCGTCGGGTGTCAACCCACTACTGCCATAGAGGTACATTCAACGCGGTTATGAGCCCGTCCCAGTTCATTTCTCCCAGCAACTGTCAAACGTCTCTAGAGTTTACAGGACCATCGTCGTCGAAGTCGTAATCGTCATTGTCAAAGTCGTCGTAGCCCAACCTATCCCGTGCTCTTGCTTCCATCATTGCGTTGTCGAACTCGTCGTCTACGGGGAACATATCTCGTGCTCTTGCCTCCATCATTGCGTTGTCGAACTCGTCGTCTACGGGCAACATATCTTGTGCTCTTGCCTCCATCAGCTCGTCCTCCAGCTGGTCTTCCGTCTCCAACACGTTCCTGCCCAACCCCGAGCCCCAAGGCCCCAACTTCTTCTTGTCCGACTGCGGCATGTACGCAGGCCCGCAGGCTTCGACCACACGACGCGCGCTCTCCTCCATCGCCTTCCCCATCCACTCGCTGGTAATGCGCTTGGCGTAGAGGTTACGGAGCGCGGGCAGGTACATGACGTCGTTGACGCAGTACTGCATCGTCTTGGCATCGAGAGGGCGGCGGCTGAAAATGTCGTTGGCCATCAGGGCCTGGACCTCCTTCTTGGTCTTGAGCCAGCGATGAAGCTCCGTGAACTTCAGGCGCAGGTCATTCTCGATGCATCTGCCAAGCCCGTGGAGGCAGGTCTTGTCTGCGACGCGGGAGGCATTCTCGAGCAGCTGCACGTCTGTGACGCCCGCGAGCCGGACCTGGTGGTGCGCCCAGAGGGCATCCGCGTCGTTGCGTACGTCCCAGAGGCGTTTGGGAGTGTCGGGATCCTCGAGGATGGCCTTGAGGGTCTTTCCGCTGGCGCCGGGGGTGCTGAAGGCGGAGTTACCGAGGGTTTGCACGTCGATAATCCATGTTGTTCGTGCGGGGTGGACGAGCACGGTCAGGAGGGAGAGGGTTCCGTTGCGGCTGAGACTTTTGCCCTCGAGATCCAGGTAGAAAGTGCTCGAAGGAGGTATCGAGGAGAGGAAAGCCTGGATATCTGGAAGGGAGGAGATCAAGGTTGGTGACGACGAAGGAGTAGCCGTAGTAGCCATGCCTGACTTGAAGGAATGCGTTTCGCCGATGATCAAATGGTTTGGTATTGCGGTTTGTTTTGGGTCGACCATCGGTGACCAGATTAAGTGTTTGCGACCCCGCGCCATCTGGCACCTGGTCAGTGAGGGTCATCGTCACACAGATGACGCACGGCGTCCTACATTGTGCCCCGCCAATTAGAAGGCGCTTCTTCGACGCCCAAGGGATGCCGGTAGTGGTCCTCGGCAGGCTACATGTACCGGCAACGGGATCATCAATCATTGGAAGCCTCCCGGTTGTTGCAACTCCAGCACTTGAACAAACCGGTCTCAATTTGACACAGAAAGTTGTGATAGGTGGTAGGTAGGAAAAGAGACAAGAAATAGGGAAATAATTATACTACGCCCGAGAGCCCTCTCACTTATTCCTTACCACCTTGGGCGGGAGATCCTTGAAGACTCCCTTGACGAGCAACGCCCTTGACGAGCAACGGACTGCGTAATACATTCTCCCAGTCGTGCACCGCGAGGGTGTTCTCCCTATTCTCCATCACCACATCGTACCCGCGCTTCCACACCTCCTTTTCGTACCCGCCAACCGCGCGAGCCAGCTCCTGCCGGGTATGGCCCTTCATGGCGCGGAGGCGCGTCTGCAGCTCAGTCACGTCGGCAACGGCGTTGCCGAGACCTTGGCCACGATCTGTATATGGAACCATGGAAGTCAGTAACACGGGTTTTGCTCACCGTGTAGTACTACCTACCTAGTGAAGCCTAGGTAGGGAGCAACTTACGAAAGGTCATGGCATGCGCAGCATCGCCTGCCACAGTAACGCGCCCTCCTCTATTGTCCCAAGGCCTCGTGGGCCAGTAGGTCATCTGACTGCTGTACCAGGACCTTGTCTCCGGTGGAACATCTTGGACCATGGCATTGAAGGGGTACACCAGCGATTTGGTGAGAGCTTCCACCTTCTCGAGGAGGAAGACACGATCGTTTGCGAGCCTTACATGGTCTTCGGTCTCGTCGTAGTTCCAGGTGATGAGAAGCATGAAGGTCCAATCTTCGGGGGCTTCAGCAGTGCAGTCATGGATCGCTGCGAATACGAAAACATTGTCGGGGCCCACGGCCATGCTGTATATGGGGTGGATGTTCCTCAAGCTCAACGCCGTCTCCCGCGTAAGCTTTGCCACAGTTCCGAACGAGGAGACGGGCACTTTCTGCAGCGCAGCATCCTCGGGCGAGAGTTGGAAGAGCCAGGCTCGGGTCGGGCTGTGGGCGCCCTCGGCACCGATAAGCAAGGTTCCATTTTCCGCAGTGCCATCTTTGAACCCTGCCGTGATACCGCCCTCGGTTACAGTTATTGTATCCAAGCTTTTGCCGTACTGAAGACGTCAGGATGGCTAGGCCGGGTCTCGAAGGCGGGGCTGGGGCCACTTACCCGCACGTCCAATCCCTTCTTGATCATATCTACAAACGCTCTTCTCTTGAGGCGGATGGCATAGGGGGCAGGAATTGGCTGGAGTATTTCTCCCGTCACACCGTGGTAGACAGGCAATACAGATTCTGCATGGCGCCGGTAAGACGGATCGGTTTGAACGGTATCAAGGAGAAGATTTAGCTCGGGGGTGAGGCATTCCTCGATGCGGGACTGTGCCCAGTAGACACCAAAACTCCAGTCTCGTGCCCGGGCCGCGGTGCTCTCATCCTTCTCGAAGACGGTAGCAGAAATCCCCGCCTAGGGTTGTCAATTGTCAGTACTGCGGAAAACGTTGCCTAGGTAGTAGCCATCGACGTGGTTTCTCTTTCTTGCCTTCTTGAAGATTTGGCCAAGTAAGAGGCCAGCCGGACCTAGTATGCACGAGTTAACCTGGGGCCCCCCACCCCGGAGGAATATCGAAATTCTGTCCCCGTGTTTCCAGTCCAGACCGAGGCACTGGGCAGATAGGTACCTACTCACCTCCACCGATAATCAGCACCCTCAACGGCTCCATAATGCTCAGAAAACAAATCTTAGTAGATTGTACCTAGACACAAAAAGCGATCGATGTATCGATGGACAAATCCCCGAACATCCCATGAAGCGGTACAGTTCGGAAAGAAGATGGGGTTGGCCAAACCTGACTCGGGATTGTCTGCGCAATGAGGGGCGAGGGGAAGGGTCCGGGCGCGTAGAAATAGAACTCAGAAATTCCCTCCTACCGGAAGCATCGGGGCGCTGACCCTACTATACCCGGATGTTTTACTTCATTTTCGTTTTTGGGGTGGCACAACCAGCGGCATTCGTCGCTTTTGGTAACGGGGGTGTGTATGAGACAGTATGATCCCAGTGCCGCGGTGCGGACTTGATCGGCGGCATCGGCCCCGTCGCGACAGAAGTGCTATCTGCTGACGCCATAATTACGGAGTATATCGGGCCCTTGGCGATTATACGTTGTAGTGGTACAGGTAAACTGGTTGAGGTTGCTAGGCTTCATCGTCCAGCACGCAGTGCGCATCAACCGACAAGGACGGGTCTACGGCTCTGGAAAACGTCCCTGTTCACTCGGGATAAGCAAGCAGGGGTCAGGGTGACTCACGTGATGCGCCAGGCAGCCCTCTGCGCGCAGTGCAGGAAGTCCTCGCCCAAGGCAGATAACTCGGGTCCTTATCCATCATCTGCGGTCGAAAATCATCCGAGAATAGTCCCGACTCCCAGTCTCTCGCGATGCCTCCCTCAGACGATCCAGAAATCAAGGAAATAAGCCAGCGTATGGCTCATCTCGATGCAATGCTCCAGATACATAACTCGGGTCCGCAAGTCAAGCCCTTGTGGTTCGAGTATCGAGATCTCAGAGACCGACGCAAGGTGCTCGAAGACGAAGCCAAGTTGGTAGCCAACCCCAAAGTGGGACAGACACCGGCCCCAAAACCCAGCTCTGTTTCAGATGGCGTCACGAATGGCGAGCCTGAACCCGTCGATAGTCGAGGTATGCTCAGCATTAAATGACTTAGGTTGTAAATTTGGCTGAGATAATTATGAATAGGTGTACAGCCTGAGGGGACAACACAGCCTGGGAAGATCGTGAGGTTTCAATTACCTAATAGTTCGGACCCGCTCGACCAAGGTGTATCGGATTCAAAAGTCCCCGAAGTCGATCCTGAAGTCCGGGACACCACCCGAGTACTGAAGGATATAGTGTGTTGGCAGCCATCCAATAAGAAAAGTTAGGGGTGACCAAAGTTTCAAGGCCAGTTTCACCTGCACAGCACAGGGGAGGGGATGTCTTAGGTACCTAGGTACCGAGGTAGGATAGCCGACGTAGAGGAGGGTCTGGTTTTAAGGAAACGCCTAAAAGCCACCTACCAAATACTATCAAGGGCGTAACTATTCCAAATCGAGACATGCTATAGCTTCTTTTCACGGATATACTTGACCTACACACCCCTCCCACCGGACGCTCCTGCTGGGATTTTCATCCAGGCATTCTTTACACTAGCGCCCACGGGCTCGCTACAACATAACCTCAGTAATCCCACCAGGACTTGTGAGACATGGTAACCCTAACCACAACCCGGGCATGAATGGTATCATGGGCTGTCCGACACTTCCCGACCAGCTCTTTGTCGGCCCCGCTCAAAGTCAGGCAACACCCACTTCACCATCCATTCCGACTTCAACACCTCATCAGCCGTCGGCCGTTCCTCCGGCCGGAACGCCAGCATCTTCCGCATCAAGTCCACAATAGCCGCCGTCTCCTCCTCACCAAAGACCCCCACCTCAGCCCGCTTCCGCCTATACTTCTGAACAAACTCCTCAAACGCGTCCTCCAGCGCAGGCCGCACCTCCTTCCGCCCTTGCGGACGCTTGTCCTCACCAAAGAACCGCCCCCTCCCCTCCCAACGCTCCCACCAACCCAACGGCATGCCACCATACCCCAAAACATCCACCTGCTGCGCGGTAACCTCATCCGCCGTCGTGAACTCATTGCTAAAAATCGCCTTCATGCCGACAATTTCCCACATGGTGATGGCGAGACCCCAAACGTCGGCGGGATAGGAGAGGGGCGCGTCCGGCTCAAACCGGGCCTCGGGCGGCCGCGACCCCAGCGGTGTGTGGCAGTCTCTGCCGGGACGGGGCTCCGAGGCCGGGGCGTGGGCTTCGCCGAAATCGCTGAGGAGGATTTGCGTGTCGGTGCCGAGAGAGAATTCGTGCGCGCGTTTGTCGGCGGCGAGGTTGAGTGGGGCGACGGCGGTGGGGGGGATGTTGGGTGGGAGGGGGTTGCCGTCGCGTCGGGTGATGGGGATGGTCTCGGGTTTGCCGTGCTCGTCGTAGAACTGCGCGATCGAGAGCTGGTTTGGTTGGCGTGGAAGGCGGGCGAGGATGTTTCCGAGGTGGATGTCTGTATGCGTGTAGCATGGGATTAGGTTCAGTGGCGGATTAGGAAGTCTTCGTAGCAACGTACCTCCATGGGCGTAACCCCGTGCGTGTAAATAGGCGACGGCGAGGGCAACGCCACCACACAATGCCCGCGCCACGTCGATCTGGAAGAGTTGGCTGTATGAAGCCGTCCGCAGGTCACATTGCGCCAGCGCCATGGTATAACAAGGGTGCGTCCCGTTTGGGCCTTTCACCTCGAACTCGTCCAAGGGCACCGGGATGGAAGAGTGGCCGAGAGACGCCGGTGGAGGAACTGGCAGTGGCGTGGCAAGGTCGCGCAGAATTGCAGTTTCCCGTGGTGGCGATTTGACGATGCCAACTTTGACGGCGACGTAACAGCCGAGCTTGGTGTCTTGCGCAAGCCAAACTGTGGAATAACCGCCGAAGCCAAGCTTGTCTACCACGCGGTACCTCGCACGTAGAACGTCTCCGATCGTGACGGGATGGTATCCACCGGGTATATAGTATTCGAGATATTCAACATCACTGATTGGGTTATAGGCTGGCCGTTGGAATTCCTTGTCGTGCCCCTTGGTCGACGTGGTCGTCGAGAAGGCACGCCCGCTTCCCACATGAGGATAGCGTGTCCGGGGGTGGAGCACTGTGACAAAACAACTTGGGAGGCGCCATATGGCTCTTGTAGAGGGACTTATCAGCGAAGGGGCACGCATGATGGCAGGGGTTCTGCTGGGCTCTGCCTTCACCCGGTTGCCCTCCGATGTTGCGACTTGCGGCACTTGCCGCCTCGTGAAGTGCTGGGTTAGGCGAAAATTCGTCAACCGGGGTTGAAACCCATGGCACGTGCTTCTATGGCTCTAAAGCTGCGTGTTTAATCTGTAGGATGGCGAGAATCTGTTCTTGTGTCTTTATTCTATTTTTGACAGCCTCCTTATTGAATCTCTCCTTCTAGACCGATTTACATCATCAAATGGGAATGGCAAACTTGATTAACAAGCAAGCATCGATGTGTTTCAGCAAGATCCCCCCTCACCATGGGCGGTGTGATCAGACGTCAAACAGAAATAAGCCAGGCCGAATACCAGTGACGTTGAATGAGAACATGGAGAGAGTGGCAAACTCTTTGAAGGCATCGGGTGGGAAGAGCCACATGCCAACGGCCGTGCAGGGTAGCCTCTCCATCAGCTCCAACGTCTCAGTAGCCTCGGGAGACGTGTAGGCATATTTCGGAAACATGCCGGGCCCGCCAGACATGCTTGTAAGCTTCTCGCGGGTCGTCGCCCAATTCTCCGCCTCGTCTTTCAGATGGTGTGCGAGGTCGTCCCGTGTCCACTCCTCCCCTTCTTCTTTCTTCACCCCGAGGTCTATAGCGGTTCCATCGGCCCTCCGCATTATCATGGATGGGGGCCAGTCATGAGTAGGGCAGATGTAGAAGCGGAATCCGTCGTCATGGTTCTCTCGGGCAGTTCGCTGTTCTTGTGTAATGCCAAAGGCGGATTCGAGCCGCCGCCAGCCTTGGGAGATCTCCCGGGGGTCATCGCTTAGAGGAAGCTGGAAGAGGTCCAGCTCCAGGCCTGGTCGCGGGTCCGCTTCAAACCAATGGAAGCCGCTAGCCGCGTGGCCTCGTCGACGGAGGGGGAATGTTTGGGCGAAGTGGAAGCGCCAGTTCTTGGCCAGAGACAAACCCATCCCCCTTGTACGGCACCGAAAGCCGATAACGAAGAAAAGAGAACGGAGTTTGCATCGAAGGATATCCCCAAACGACGCCGCTGCAGTTGGGTGAAGGGTTGCTGGGGTCAAGTGTGCCTGTGTCGGGTCGAACATGTAATCTAGATACGCTCGGTCCAACGCGAGGTGGGCAATCCTACATCATACGAGTTAAAAACCAAGTCTAGTAAGCAGATGCAGGCAAACACAACAAAAGAATAACGGGTATATATACCCTTGGTCCTTGTAGTCGTAAGCCCTGGCGTCATGTAAAAGGTCAACAAGCAGCGGTGCAAATCCTCGGTAAGGACCGCTTTCGGGTTCCCGGGGTCGGACGTATACGACGTCGTAGTCCGGATTAAGGTAGAGTACCTGTTCCCTGCGCTGCCGTCCAGGGAAGGGTAGATGAATGTGGTAGAAGCTGAGCACGGCCCCCCTGGCCTCTCGGTTTACTTGGAGGAGCAAACTGAAGGGTGGCGCAAAGGATGGTCCGCAGCCATGGATATTGAAGGTGTACCGCCGGCCGCTGACTATTCGACCGAGATGGTTGCGGTCAGTGTAACAGTGGGAGTCTCCGTCGGCGGGGCAAATATCGAGCTCGATCATGCGGTGCCGTTGGAGATGGGCCTTCCAGATGTACAGCCGTATTTCGGCGGGGAGGCGGGAGAAAAGCGGCCATGCGGAAAAGGAAGGGACTGGAGATGTGGCCTCGAGGTGACTGAGATGTACATCGTTGAAGAGCATGTGCATCCGGCTATCTCCCATCACCTTATCCGCAGCGTCTGTCGAAGTTCCGTGGTTCATCGTTGAGATTAGGTCGAGATCAGGTTAAAGCCCAGGCGAAGCGAAGGGGGGAAAATTCCCGAAGGACGGGAAGGAGAGTGGGGAAGATGTACCCGGTGGTCAGGTGATCTTAGCTCAACTCCACCTCTCCGCAGGAGAGGTGGCGCCAATATTCCCGGACATCGCAAAATACCCGGACAGGCGCGTCCTGAACAACGCATCGATTTTATACTGTAAAACGCGTAGACTATAAGATAACCTCCCATTCCTAACCCTATTTCTACTGCAATTTGACTACTTTTTTATCGAAATATCTCTTAATACCTAATATAACGAATCCCCAAGTGTATGGGCTGCCAGATAGCTCCTTACAGTATAAAACCGCTATTATCGTACCTATAGTATATACCTCTAAACCGATATAATCTTTAAGAAGCTAACTATCCGCTATACCGCTACGATCTTCAGAATCGGTAAAATATAGATCGGATCGAATCTGAAGTTGCTAAAAGAGACTGGTCTTCCTGTAATAAGTACCGTGAATGCCGGGCGGCCGCGTTCACTGTATAACGATAAAGATATAGCCCTTGAAGTATATATATACTGGCTTATTTGATCTGGATCTATTACTGCCTATAATTTAATTAAAGATACTATAAACTAACTATATATATACTATTAACTACCCTATCCCCCTATTAGCTGGTACTGGTAGTGTGACGAACCTGTCTCTGGACCCGTCCTGTTAGGGTTCAGTATCGGTCGAAGGTATTCTCTCAAGGGTGCTTAGGTTCGGTGCAGCCAAAGGGTGCACAACAAAGACTTGTCTCAACAGTAGGCTCTCGAGCTTGTAGCGAACTGTAGTTGTGATTGCTAACTGGAGAACTCCCAGAGCTCTCCAGAACGAGTGACTATATACTATCTAGGTCCGTAGGTACCTTCGTACCTATGCCTCCTGGATCGTCTTATCCTCAAGACGATCCATCCTGGATCGTCTTATCTATTCCACGATCCCATGGATCGTGAATTCTCCCACACGATCCGCTTCTTATTGGCTGACGCTCCCATCCTTGACGATTGGCTCGGGGCGTCCCGCGCCCCGCTTCCGTGCGTCTGGCACAGTGATCATGACACGATGCCCCTCCTCCGTGCCTTTCGACCCGAAAGGCCCCAACAACCTTTCTGCTTAAGTAGCGCCAGTCAGCCCATCCCTGATGTGCGTGGTTCCCTGTCCTTCTTTCTGTCCTCGCCTTACTGCCGCGATGATGCTGACAAGATGTCGAACCGCGTAAGCAAAACGAAACCCAAACCCTCTACGCCTCATCCCAAAACTATTAAACGTGACGAGTTGCTAGCGCGTATCTTGCGCCTAGGAGTCATTATGCACAAGCCTTGTTCTCGGTGCGAGGAGTTCGGTATTGAGTGCAAGGTGTCCTCCGACGATTCTTTTTCTTGTTACGAATGCACTCGTCGACACGAACCGTTTTGTGATGCCTTGGGTGTAACAGCCCAAATGTTTCAGCGTATCGTGGCTCAACATGATCAAGTTGAGTCGGATCTGGAGCAGGCGGAGGCTCTGGCGGAGGCAGCCAACGCCAAAGTGCGTCGTCTCCGAAATCTGAAAAGAACGTGGCTGGTGAAGATGCAGCGCGCCATTGCTCGGGGGCTCGATTCCATCGAGGAGCTGGAGAAACTGGAGCGCAAGGAGGCGGAGGAGGCGGCGGCAAAAGCAGCTGCCGGTCCCCCGTCGGCAGACCCTTCTTCCGTCGGGCTCCCTCACGACCCTGCGTGGCTTTCAAGGTTCGTTTTTCTTGTTCCCCCCCGTTGTTGGTTGCTGACGATTGACTTAGTTCCTCTGGCGACCCTTCCTCCGGGTTCGATTGGTCCTTGGGTGACCCTCTTGCTGGGGTCGACCTGTCCGTGGGGTTCCCGTTGGTCGATCCGGGTTCCTCTGGTGGAACTCCTGAAGTTTCTCGGGGCAGTTGAGATTGGTAGCTGGTTGCCATGAATTGTCTTCTGGGCCGAAGTCCAGCCATTTGACCAAATACTCCAACCGTCCTTTCGTGATGCGTGAATCTAGGACTTCCTCAACGTCCCACTCTTCCTCTTCGTCTTCTGCCTCGGCGTCCTTGTCGAGTCGTGCGCCCTTGGGCGCTGGTTCCAGAAGTGAGATGTGGAAAACGTTGGTCCGTAGTCGCATTGTCGAGGGTAACGCGAGAGCGTAATTGTTCTCCGAAATCTTTTTGTCGATCTTGAACGGTCCGACTTTGCGAAAGTCGAGCTTCCTGCTTGGTCGCTTCGTGCGAAGATTTCGAGAAATGAGGTAGACTTTGCCCCCCTCCTCTAGGCGAGGTCCCTCGAGCCTGTTTCTGTCGTAGAACTTCTTCATCCGTGTTCGTACGAATTCGAGTTCTTCCTTGAGCATCGCGTGCAGCGAGCTCATTTTGTCGGCTTTGACTGCCGCTCTGGGCACCGAAACTTCGGGCCCTTGTCGCAAATCTGCTTCGTAGCCGAAATTCGCGAAGAATGGTGTGACCCTGGTGGTCTCCGTGACGGTGGTGTTGTAGGCGAGTTGCGCTGTCGGCAGCAGCTCGACCCAGTCATCCTGCTGGAAATTGACGTACAACCGTAGGTATTGTTCGACGACCTGGTTGAGTCGTTCCGTCTGTCCGTCCGTCTGTGGGTGGTAAGCGGTTGAGAGCTTACTTTTCGTACCCAGTCTCGTCATCAGAGCCTGCCAAAACTTTGATGCGAACTTGGTGTCTCTGTCTGTGATCCATTCCTCCGGCCATCCGTGGACCGAGGTGATGTTGCGGTAGATCACATCTGCAAGTTGTTCTGCCGACCATGTTTCCTTGTAAGGGAGGAAGTAGCTCCATTTGGTGAGTCTGTCCACCATCGTGAGGATGCTGTCGTATTCCACGCCCGTTACTGAGTCCTTGGATATCGGCAGCTTGGTGATGAAGTCCATCGTCACCGAGTTCCATGGTCGTTCTGCAACTGGCAATGGCTGTAGTAGCCCGTACGGCTTGTGTCGTCCTGGCTTGCTCCGCTTGCAGAGGTCGCATTCCGCCCGGACCTCTTCTGCCGTCTGCTTGATTCCTGGGAAGTCGTAGTTCTGCTTGACTTTTGCAATTGTTTTGCTGATTCCCATGTGTCCTCCGAGTCTTGACTCGTGGATCTTTCGAATGAGCTCCTTTTGGTCACTAAGCCTGACGTAGGCCTTGTCGTGGTACCAGAGTCTCGTTCTTTCAAGTCGCAATCCCGCGATCTTGGATTCTGGCTCTTCTTGCCATGCATCGCGCTCGTCGTCCGCGATGGTTCCTTGGAAATCTTGTTCCAAGCGTTGTTCCCTGAAGGCCGCACAGCATTCTACAAACGGTTGCAGAGGCCTAGCTTCGGGATCTTCCGACTGTTGCTGAAGTGCTGCGATCTCGTAGTCTTCAGTCGGTTGGGAAGCGTGCCGTAGCGATCCGTCTGTCTGTTGATGTAGCAATGGTGGTGAGGCTTCAGACGTGTTGTCGTGGTGATCCGCTCTCCTACTCAAGGCATCCGCTCGTGCGTTTTCTGAGCCTTTCTTGTAGTGGATCGTGAAGTTGAATTCGGACAGAAATTCTGCCCACCGAGTTTGTCGTCCGTTCAGCACCTTGGTGGTGGTGAAGTACCGTAAGTTCTTGTGGTCCGTGTACACCTGGACTTCGTGTGTCGTGCCGCTGAGGTATGGTCTCCATTCCTGGAATGCTTCAATGATTGCGAGAAGCTCCTTGTCGTGGATCGGGTAGTTAAGCCTTGGCCCTTCGAGTTTCTTGGAGAAGAACGCAACTGGATGAAGCTTGCCGTCCTTGTCCCTCTGACCAAGTTGTCCTCCGATCGCGAAGTCCGAAGCATCAGCCTCGACTTCGAAAGGTGTGCTTGGATCAGGCAGCATGAGCACCGGGTCGGCGATGATCGCATCGCGGATCCGCTGGAAAGCCTGCTCGTGCTCCCGCTTCCACTGGAATGTGGCATCCTTTTTGGTAAGTTCGTGCAGAGGTCTCGCGAAGTCGCCGAAATTCTTGATGAACATTCTGACGAAGTTGGCGAATCCGATAAATCCTCTGACCTCCGTGGCGTTCGTCGGTGTCGGCCACGTCTTAACAGCTTCCAGTTTCTCGGGTTCGATCTTGACCCATCCCGGGGAGATTTCGTAACCCAGAAACACTGTTTTCTTGACATGAAACTCGCTCTTGTCCTTGTTGACTGACAATTTGTGCTCGTGCAGTGCGTCCAGCACCTGCCGCACGTGTCTCTTGTGTTCTTCGAGTGTTTTGGAGTAGATGAGAATGTCATCCAAGTAACAGACTGCAAATTTATCGAGGCAATGTCGAATTGCGTGGTCGATAGCGGCTTGAAATGTCGCTGGTGCGTTGGTCAACCCGAACGGCATGACGCGGTACTCGTAGTGCCCGTAGGGTGTCCGAAAAGCCGTCTTCCATTCGTCTCCTTCCTTGATGCGGATGTGGGCGTACGCTGTCGGAAGGTCGAGACGCGTGAAGTATTGTGCCCCTGACAGCTGGTCTCGAAGCCTTGAGATCAGTGGCAGTGGGTAGCGGTTCTTCACCGTTTCGCCGTTCAACTGTCGGTAGTCCACACACATCCTGAGTTTCCCATCCTTCTTTGGAACGAAGAGGACTGGGTAGCCCGCTGGAGATGTCGATGGTCTGATGTGTCCTATCTCGAGGTTCTTTTCGAGATAGCTCCTCAACTCTGCATCTTGCTTCTCGTTGGTGTGGTACACCTTGAAAAACTTCAACTGGGCTCCTTCCTTGAGTTTGATCTCGTGATCCCAAGGTCCGTGGTCTGGTAGCCCTGCAAGATGTTTTGCCGTGAACGCCGGGTGCCCCTTGTAGTCGTCTGGGATCTGCCCCGTCTTTGCGCTCTTCGCCGTACCTTCGTAGTACGCGAACTTGTTGTTCCCAGGCTCGATGCTTGCTGCTTCGAGTTCCCTGACTTCCTCTGCTGCCAGCTCGATGCTTGCCGCTTCGAGCTGATTGACCCATTGTTCGTGTTTGA